TCTCCTCCATCACTCAGCAGAAAGGTGTCTCAATAAGGTCACAGATAGATCTTCATGTTGATAAATCCAACAGGCATTTTGCAGCTCTAATCTTACTTGATTTCTCAGCTGCACTGGACACAGGCTGACCACTCTCTCCTTGAATGCTTACTTCCCTGATACCAAGCTTCCTTCCTCAATTTCTTTGTTATTCCTTTTCTATTTCCTTTGCAGGCAAACTCTCCTCAGCATTAAATGTTGGGCTCCTTTGGGCTCAGTCCTAGGCCCTTGACTTATGCTCAGTCCCTCTCTCATCCACAGCCTTGTCGTTGATTGTCTCCCACTCCTTAATGACTCAATGCAGAATTCTCTCGAGGTTCAGAGCTTTCTAGTTAACTGTGTACCTAACACCTCCAACTGGTTATCTTGAAGGCATCTCCAACATATCCCATCCAGACCTGAACTCACGATTTTTCCCATTGAACTTCATCGGATGTTCCAAATCTTCCGAGAGGTCCCACCAGCTCATTAATTACACATCTTAGCATCTTTGCCTCTCTCATCCTTCTTATCCAACCTATCGCTGCAGCCTGTCGGTTTTTACTCCTACCCATTTCTCAGATCTCTGCAGCTCTCCATCTCTGCCACCACCCCAGCCAAAGTCACTATCAATTCTCCCTCATGCAACAGGCTTCTCACTGGTCTCACCTCAACTACTCTTATCCTTTTCATAATGGAGCCGCAGTATTGTTACCGTTGTTGTTTTAATCTAAGTCTGATCACGTCGTCATCTTGCTTAAAACCTTTCAATGATTTCCCATTACTCTTAATGCAAAAATCAAAATCTTTAATGTTGCATGGGTTGGCCCCACACCAAGCTCAGCTTCGATGTCTGGATATGGTCATACCATGACCCGTTAGTAGTTTATGCTCTGCTTCCTCCTCAGGGCCTTTGCACATGATAGTCTCTCTAGATTTTCTATAATGTTCTCCCCTTGCTTTGCTTCTTTACCTAGTTAACTCCTATTGATTCCTTAACTCTTAGCTCAATCCCCATTTCCTCGAGGAAGTTTTCTCTGACCCCCAGGTTGCGTTGGGGTCCCAAAACATACACTCTCATGGCACCTTATGTCTTTATGTCATAGACACATTACATTTGTCATCATTTAGTTAATGTCTCTCCCCAACTAAACTGTAAGCTCCATGAGAAACTCTACTCATCATTGCATCCCTAGGCATCTTCACAGTATTTTTCCTTTGGAGATCCCCAATTAATGTTTGTTGAAATTAAATGTTGTGGTCATTCTTGATGGAGGGACACAGAGTAAATGAAAGCCAACAGTTTGTTTTATTTTGTTTTGGGGTAGGAGTCAGGCAATTTGATGTGGTCACACTGCTAATTTCATGATGATCAGAAGTCTGATTGGCAGATATATATGTCTTGATTGATTAAAAAATGGACAATGAAAGAATTGTTACTTAATTAGAAGGAACTTGTTGTAGTGAAAAGTGTAGGCACTGGAGTCAGCTGGATATTGTTGGAATTCTAGTTCCTCCATTGACGGAGCTGGAAGTTGATGTTGGACCCATCATACAATCTATGAGCCTCAGTCTCATCATCTGTAAAGTAAGGATCATAATCCCTATGGAGATCGTTATGGGGTTAGTATGAGGATTGAGTGGGATAAGGAATGTAAGTGCCTAGTAGGGTATCTGGCACATAGTAGGTGCTCAAGGTAAAAGGATTTCTGTCTTTCTTCCTTTCCTCTCTCCTTCCCTTTCTCTCTCCTTCCTGAAGCACCTTGCTTTGTATTACATCTTTCTAAACCCAGACTCCTTAAGGGAAAATGGTATAAAGGTTGCTTAGTGGTATAAAAATGGGCATCTACAAACTCTGTGGCCTGAATGTCCCCGACCCTCTCCTGGCCTTAAGCCCCTGCCTGCTTGGAGGACCAAAGGTGAGGAATTCTTCACGGGTAGGTTCTGGGAGCCTGGGAACTGGGAGAAGCTGAAGAGAGAGGCTGAGTACACAGGATTCAAGGTGGACCTTTTCTCTGACCGATGTTAATTATGCAGTGGGGGCTGAAGGCCTTTGTGAATCCACATGAGTGTTTTCTGGTGGGACTGGCATGATTCAGGCAAATGCCCACCCACCAGGAGAGAGCCCAGGGCAGCAGGCTCTACCTCTGTTGCTTCTCTTTGGAGGGAAGGACACTTCCAAGGCTGGGCAAATTTTCAACTACAGCTGACGCTTGAAAAACACAGGTTTGAACTGCGTGGGCCACTTATATGCAATTTTTTTTCAATAACTACATACAGTTCTGTAAAAGCATTTATTCTTCCTTATGATTTTCTTAATATTTTCTTTTTTCTAGCTTACTTTATTGTAAGAATACAGTGTACAATACATAAAGCTTACAAATATGTGTTCATCAACTGTTTATATTGCTACTAAGACTTCTGGTCAACAGTTGGTTATTAGTAGTTAAGTTTTAGAGCAGTCAAAAGTTACACACCAGTTTTCGGCTGTGTGTGAGCTCAATATCCCTGACCTCTGTGTTGTTCAAGGGTTAACTGTACTCTGGTCTCAGCGTCCTCAGAGTTCTGAGATCCAGAGCGAGGCTTGGAGATCACAGCAAGCTAGTAAAAGCCCCCATGCAGCCAGCTGGGCTGCCCTTGGTCAGCTGTCCTTGTCCCCTCTTGCTCCCCTTAGGCCTCCACTCAGAGTCTCCGTTCCACCCACACCTGGACCACCTACACCAAGGAGCATCCTTCCAGACTCAGTCCCCTGGTGCCTCCTGCAAAAAGACCTCATGACCTCTCCCCAGCCCTAGATCGGCTTGTGTCCCTTCTCTGGGGTCCCAGAGCCATTCATATTCTCATCATAACACTTATCCCCTTGGAGTGTAAAGGGGTACCATGGTAACATTATATTATGTGATTTCTGTGTATATGGTGCTAATTGGACTTGTGCAAAGGGTGGACCTAGGGTGGTAAAACTCTGTCTACCATCTGTCTCCTTCATCTGGGCCTTCCAAAGGGTACAGGCTGTGTGGGTAGGGCTGGTGCATAGGAGGGAATGAGCCATTAATTTGCCGAATGGTTCAACAGGTAGGCACCAGGTGCCTGAGAACAGCTTCCCTGCTCCCAGCTGGTCACATGTTGGTGCTTCTCCTCGCTCAGCTCCTGCTACCCCATTCCTTGGGGTCTTCCCTTTTTTTGAATGTCTCATACTACCCTTCCTATCATTTTGAGTTTCCTATTCTGCACTGAGCAGTATCTCATACATTCCCCATGTGGTTGCCATCTTCAGCAATGCCATCGTTAGTGGATGCAGGCTGCTCCCCCGAGGGGCTAGCCAAGCCCTTCTTCATAAACCGTTTTCTTGTGATTCATTGGGAACTTCGTCTGCTCCAGGATTCACATCCACAAAGAATAAATGAAATCAAGGCTTGTTCAAGGAACTTCATGGGATACAGGGTGGCCGGAGTGAGGTGCAGAGTAGGGAGCAGCGAGATGTGAGCCCTGGGCAAGAGAAGGCAGGGGCTGAGGTGTGTTATGCTCACTGTGGCCTCACGAGGTGAATCGAGGAGTGCAGACTTGATCCTGGAGACTAAGGGAAGCCACGGAAGGATTCTAAGGCAGGGAATCAGTTTTGGATTCTTTTTAATAAAAGACCTGTCCATTGATCTTGTGCATCTAGGTTAATATACATTTGAGATGTCAGAAGTAATACCCCTCGAAGGCATAACCATCCTCAAGAAGCACATAATCTTTTTAACTATCCTGTAATCTAATCCCCACCTTACTTCCTCCCACCTCCATAAAATCTTCCTTATGTCCCTGCCTTAATTTCAAATACATAAAAAAAGTTGCAAAACTTATTTTCTGGAGCATTTGAGATCTTTCCCCCTAGCATATGTCATCAGTTTGGCACAGATAAACTACTATAAAAATTCCCTACAGGTTTGGACATTTCTTACATTAACACTGTTTGTCTGTCTATCTATCTATCTATCTATCTATCTATCTATCTATCTATCTATCTATCTACTATCTATCTATCTACTATCTATCTATCTACTTATCTATCTATATCTATCTATCTTAAAAGATCTCTCTGCTAACAGTACGAATGAATGAGGGATTTGATGGGGCAGACCGTAGAAGAGGGAAAAATTGAAGTAGTCTAGGTTAGAGAAGATGGTGGCTTGAGCTAATGACAAGAGAATGGCAGGTGAAGACTGATTTGTGAGATACTAAGAAGGAAGAAATCAATAGGTCTTAGCAATGGGTTGCATTATGGATATGATGAGTTCAAGGTCCATGTGGGCCATTCACAGAGAAGTGTCCAAGAAATTGATGGATGGATTTATCTATCTATCTATCTATCTATCTATCTATCTATCTATCTATCTATCTATCTATCATCTATCTACCTATCATCTATCTACCTATCATATGTCTATCTATTTACCAACATACTTACCTGGGGGAGTAGTAGTTTTGGTAGCTATCAGCATACCCCTGGTCACCAAAATGCATTCCTGGTTGAAATCTCCAGGAAATAGAGTAGACAGAAAAGACATGGGGACTGAGAATGAAATCTGGACATGGGGACTGAGAATGAAAAGACATGGGGACTGAGAATGAAATCTGGGTAGACCTGGCTTTCCATGAAGTGGACTTGATTAGAGTGAGTACACCTGTATGCGTGGAGGGCAAATGTGTGTTCAGCCTATTGTGGCTGAGAGCATGAGTGAACACATACCAGTTAACCATTACGTCTGCTTCGGTCATCTGCAGTGTTAGGGGGAAAGAGAGACCAAGCCTGCCTTCCCGAGAAGCTAGGCACACCTGTGATACTCCACACATGGGCCATGCACCTTGACTGTTTGTCCATCTAAGAGGTACTGCTGACTTTAATGACCTAGCTGGCTTGCAGTGGCCATTATGTGGGTGTTTCCAAGCACGAGGCTGGGACAGGGCCTGGGCAGGGCCAGGGTCTGTTTGTTACTTACACATTGAGAGGCTGCCAGGCTGGCCACTGAGCTTTGGCTTTGATGACGGTAAGGACCTCATCACTCTGCAAAAAAGAGTCACAGATATTTAGTGAGGAAAGCTGGACTCATGAGAACGAGAGGGCTTTGACATGGTGACACTGTCTGCCTCCACTCACTTACCTGATATTGAGGCTCTATCTGCTTAGATGTAGGAGCCATTCCACCCAAGGGTGGAAAGCCCTGGAGCCTTGGCAATCCCAGGAGGTGGGGCTGAGTGTCCAGTGTGCCTGGTGTGTCCATTGAACCACACCTTTGGTTTACAGCTCAGCCCATCCCTTCCCCCTAGATCCAGGCTCTGACTTGGACTCTGCTTTGGATGGCCAGACTTCCATATTGCGTCCAGCCCAGAGGGTTGTGGGCTCTGTGTCCAGGCACCGACTGGGGCCTGCTTCAGGCCATACTGTAGTAGAGACTGAAATGCACCCAACACCTGACTCCAACAAGTGTCAGCCCCGAGGCTGACACTTCTGCTGTTGAGACCCATGCCCTGGATCAGGGTCCCTTCGTTATGGAGGCCAGAACGAAGCCGGGGGCCCACACCGCTGTGCCATTCCTGTTATTCTGCTCCATTTTGCTTTGGACAGCGTGTAGAACACCCTTAAAGTGTGGGGACCCAAAATAAGTTTTTGAGGAAGAATTTGACAGTTACCATTTTGAAAGAAAGCATGAAATTGTCATTGTGGGGGGAAATCAGAACTTTGTGGATCTCGCTAAACTTTACCTTGAGGTTTGTCTGGGTTCTTATTTTCAATTACATATTTAGGGTGAGGGGTATCATACTCTGCAAGCCTTCATACTTCCATAGCCCAAATTTGGCTTTGGCTGGGCGTGTTCCCCACAGCGGATTCAACTAGTTCTGGATCTGCCTCCCTCCCCTGACCTGGGCTCAGCAAATGCTCAGACATCACCATACATGATGCACAGAAAACCTGGAATGTCACTGGCTGGGGAAGGATGAGTTTCGTTGCTGACTGAGCAGGTTCCTGATTTCTAGGAGGGCAGAGACTCGCAGTCCTTACGGCCGTACCTGGCAGTAGGTCCCTAGAACATATTTGGGATGAATTGATGGACTTCTCCTTAGTTGGATACCTTGCCCAGAAAATTCCACAGCCCTGAGGAAACTGGAAGGAAGGAGATTAGAGGTGCCTCAAGGCCTCCTGGTCTGGAGCACCTTGTCCGCAGCCCAGGGCAGGGGTTGTTGGATGGTGGGCCATCAAAAGGAGGGGAGCCTAGCCAGATCCAGCTTGGCCTGGGAGCCTACAGATGTTCCTAGTGAGATGAAGGGCAGAAGTGAGGTCCACAGGGACAAGACATAGAAGCCTCCACACCCCACCCCCCAGCCCCCACCCCCATGGGAAGCTCACAGCCTCTTCTTGATCTCAGGCTTCCCTGGGGGTTCCTGACCAGAGGAAAGAATCTTTGGATGCATAGACACCTCACATTCACATGGCTGCAGGGCGAGCATTTCCACGTCCCAATCAAGCTGTTCACATTTCTCACGAGAGATTTCTTTATTTGTCGAGACTGTCTCCCTCATTCATTCCTAATAAATATCTGTTGGATGACTGCGAGAAGCTGCCTACCATGAAGCCACATGCGACACAGAACCTATCTCCCAAATCCCAGCGCTGCATCTCCCTTGACCCGGGTTTCTTGTAATCATCTGACCTGTTCCCTGTCCCACACTGAGCTCTTCGTCTGACCCCAGAACCCTGCTCCTCCTCCTGTGGGCCCCGCCTGGTCAAAGACTCCCCACTGGCCTAACCAAACTTTTCTTAGAATCGAACAGCATTTCGAGACCTTCCTACTAAACTTCTCCTTCCTTCAGGTCCCAAGTCCCACTGAGTTCACAGCCTTAACATCCCTTACATCTCCTCACCGGTCTCCTTGTCTCCTGTATCTTCTTGCTCTTCCCCACCCCCCCCCACCCCCCACACTGCTGCAAAGCAGACCATGTCCATTCTTCACCTAAACCTTTCGGCAGCTCCATACAATTTCCATGACAATTTCTTAATTCCTGGTATGCTTTTTTGATTTTTAATTCCACAATAATACATGCATATGTAGACAAATTTAGCATCATAGAAGCACACGATGTAAATGCGGAGCACTTTCCACGTTAGCATCTACCCTGCCTTCTGCCTCCTTCTCCTTCTCCAGAATGTTACAGTTTGGTGTGCATCATCCCTGACCTTTTACTACACACACACGCGACTACACGGGTGTGCGCACATCAGACACAGCTTTCCCCACAAACATAGCATCACACTGAATATCTTCTCCTGTAACATGATTTTTATACTTTTCTTTGATAATGAATCGTGGGAAACTTTCCATGGCAGTAGGTATAGCATCATAGCTTTCCTTTCATTGATATTTAGAATGTTGGAGATCTTCAAATTATGGTAAGACACGTCAAGACTCATAGAAAAGAAATCCAAGAAATGAGATCCTGTCTGATGACAATTGTTTTGCCATTGAAAAAAATGCTTTACTAAAAAGAAAAAAATCAACGTGGACGGAGTTTAGGTGGCTACCGAGTTAGCAGGCCTTGCAGATTCACCTGCATTACAAACAATCTCGATTTTCAAGTCCCAACTACTGACATGTCGATTTTGCTTTTGCAGTGTATAACGCAACAAAAATCGTTTGGGCCCTTAATTAGGGTTTATATGCGGTGATGAAATCCCGTCTGTATGTTTTCATACAGAGGCTCCAAGGATGGTGGGTCCACGTGTACAGGCATTAGACAGCTTGTCAATGCTGTGCTTTGTTTCACCGAGTGGTTCCACACCATCTGCAGAATCAACTGCTTATTGTTCCTTGTTTGTTATCATTCATGTTACCCGACAAAATTCTTTTTTAAAAAGGAGCATTCTGTAAAATTTTATTTAGAAAGCAAAATATTTTTGTTGATGCATCAAAATTCTGGGGTAGAACCTAAGCTGTACAGGACTGGAGGGTGTCTGGCTTGTTCGTGCCTGTGTCCAAGCACTGTGGCTGATTAGTAAATTTCTGAAAACACAAATCCACACCATTCCTTTTGACATATATGTAGAATTCCATCACATGAATGTTCTCTAATTTTTTTTTAAGCCAAGATTACTGGTGCATATTTAATTGTTTCCATAAGTGGTGCTATGACGAACATTCGTGTATGCATTTCCGTTTACAAACCCAAACGTTCCTGTGTCATAGATTCCTAGGAATGATTAAAAGATGAAGCAAATTTAAATTTTTGGTAGGGCCTACCAATTTGTCCTCCAGATACCTGTCCCAATTTATACTCTAACAAGAATGTATATGCGCCCACTTCTTCGCAACTTTTGACACACTGGATTCTCTCAACCTTTTTAGTATTTACTAAAACAGCAGGCAGAAAAGTAGTGTGATTGAGAGCCCAAGCTCCGGTGTCATGCCTGAGTTCAAAATCTAGTTGCACCATTGACTAGCTCTATGCCCTTTGGCAAGTCTCTTGACCACTCTCAGCTTTCTCATCTGTGAAATGGGGTTAAAAAGAGTATGTACTTCATGGGATCATTAGGTGGACTAAATGACATATTTCATGCAATGTGCTAATACAGTGCTTATATCAGCATAACTATCAGCTACTATTTTTATTCTTACATTCAGGTCAAGCTGATATTAGAATCGATTTGTACTGCTTGAGTACAGAAAGTGGAGGCCACGGTTGTGTCTACAAACCCACAATGTCTCGGAGGAACTGAGGGGCTCAGGGAACCAATGATGGGAGGTTTATGTAGCCGGATGAGCCTTGGATGGGGCCACTGGGGCACTAGGCATTTTTCATTCTAAAGAATGAAGGACTTATATTCAGAGTAAGCAATCCAAATTGCAGACTTAAATGAAAAGCCATTTTAACAAGTCTCTAAGGCACAGGAAGGATCTTTCAACAATCCTTAGGGCCCTTATCCATCCCCCATAGGACCCTTTCCAAACCAAGTATTTCAGGGCATTCGAAGTTCATGCCTCGTTTGGATGATGTTCGCTCCTTTCCACAGATATGCCAATAAAAGAAAATAAAAGAAAATAAAGAAAAGAAACTACAGGTCACTTGTCCATCTCCATGGGGATGAGTTCTTTTGGTAAACATATTGGGAAGACAAGACAGCTATACTCAGGTATCACAGTTACTGCTTTCAGGAACCGCGTAGCTCCAAATAGGCCACAGGCTGAGCTCAGATCCAGAGGAAGGAGGGTTTGTGTGGGGTGGAAAGGGGCCTGGGGCTGGTTGGAGGCAGAAATCACATTGATATCAGGAGATACCAAGTCTCAGCAGAGGAGAGAGTAAGAATGTGAGTCTGGAGCGTTGGGTTGGGGGCTAGCGTTCTCACCAACCTTAGCCCACATGGACCCTCCTATGCCTCCCAGAGCCACACCCAACACAGCTCCAGGCAGCTCAGCCATGCCCATGGCAAAAGGCCTGAGTCTGTCACCTCCCCCGTCTTGCTCGGCTCCTCCTTCTCTGCTCCTGCACCTTCCTGGATTCTGACCTTTTGCCTTCATCGTCCAGTCTTGACCCATGCCTGTTCATCATCCCAAGGCCCCCTTCGCTCAGGGAGGCTAACCTCCTCCACCATAGCATGTCCTGCCTCAGATCTGTAGTTTCAGAGTCAGCCCAGCCAACTGGCCTCTTCCCCCCAGGAAGAGAAATGGGATGCCATCCATAATCAGAGAGGGAAAATAATTGAAAGGAGTAGAAACAACAGTAACAGAAAGAGTGATCTACTGTTTGTATGTGCAAGGCTCTTGCTAATAACCTTATATATAGTATCTTATTTAATCTTTACGGCACATTTGCAAGGTAGGTATCTGCTTTTTAATCCTCAGACACATTTATTTAGCCAAAAGAGTTACACAGTCAATGGCAGAGCTAGAGTTTAAATCTCAGTCTGACTCTGTAGACCACACCCATCACCAGGAGGGTGGGGGGACTAGGAGACTAGGGGGGACTAGGGGGAAGAGTAAGCTGCAGTGCAGGGGGCCAGGCACGCTTGAAAGG